TTTTTTTTTGAAGAATGAATACTTTGAATTGAAATAATTATTCCAATCCTGTTTTTGAATGAATTTGATCATTGACAAGGAATAATGGAGAAAAAAAGGAAGAATTTTCCAGTAGAAATAAAAAATATGTTAATTTAAAAAAAAAGAAAACAAAAATGATTAATTTTTATTTTAATTTCTAAAATCCTTTAGGCATATTTCAAAATTTTTGTTAGAAAATTGCCATAAAATTAATGGGAAAAATTTTATCAAATAGAATTTGTGAACATTTAAATAATTAATTACAAAATGATTAATAAACAAACTTTGATGTGATAAGCTAATATCATACAGTGATAAATTTTTGCTTCAGTTTTTTATTCATTTATTTTTTTAAACGTTGCAAATAATTTTTGAGCAAATTGAATTAAATTTAAAAACAAAAAAGAGAGGACTAATGTGTATATTTTGATAAGAAAATTTGATAAAAAAAATTTTTATTTCTTATGATAAAACTATTTTACTAAATGATAAATACATTGATAAACATTTTAAATACTATATTATCACAAAAATTATGTTCGCATAATAATTTGTTAAATATAAACAGCTACTTCTTCATGAAGGATATGTTTAACATATAAATATTAAATTTTATTTCTAAATATTCAATTTAAAATTGAAACTTTTTACTTTTAGCAAAGGAAAAAAAAAATGAAACGATGAAATAAAAAACCATTATATGATATTTATCATTTATAAAAAGCATTTTAAAATATTTCGTAAAGCAAAAAGTAAAAAGTTAAACTTATTGGATGGTATTGATGAAAAGGAGAGAATTTGAAAAAAAAAAAAAAAAAGAGAAAATTAACTTGATGTAATATAAATAATAATGCATAAATATGGATCGAACATATGAACCCTTTCTCTCTCTCTCTCTCTCTCCTCCCTTTGACGATAAGTGAAATTCAATGAAGCTGAAAATGTGTTATAAGCTAAATTGAAAAATGTTTGATGATATTAAAAAGCATCACAATTCCTAAATTGCAAGGAGAAAAAAAAAAACAAACAAACAAACAAACAAACAAGAAATATATAAATAGAAATAAATATTATCAAATATTTGATAGTGTGATAATATTTGATCTGAATTATGATTAAGTATATATGATCTTTTAAATGATAAAATGTGCTTTCTAGTGATTTCTTGAAAATTTTTGATTATTGAATAGATCACTGATAACAGATAAATCTTTGATAATCGATAAATCGTTGGTGTAAATTTTATTTTTCTTTCTTTTCTTTTCTTTTTTGCTTTTTCTATTAAAATAAAAGTATTAAAAATTGATGATGATGATGATAAAATATGATGATAATGTATAATTTGAATTGCATTTTTGAAAAATAGAATAGAAATAAAAGTTTTTCTTTGGTTATTAAAAAGTGATTAGAAAAAGAAATGAAAAAAAAAAACAATATATTATATATATGAAACTAATAAAAATTGTAAAAATTGAAAATAAATAGAATAGAAAAAAAAAGGTTTATTGCAAAATCATTGCCGCCTGTATATTTCATATTTCATTTTAAAATTCATTTTAAAATTTAAATTATATTTTAAATCATAAATAATTTGAAATAAAAAATGATCGAAGCAAATTGATAGATTCAAAAAAAAAAAAGGATTTTATCAAAGAGTTGCAAAATTGAGAGTATTGGTTTTGCAATGAAATGAAATACCATTAAAAAAAAAAAATGAAAAACCCATTTATTTCATTTTTTTTTTAAAATTTTTTCCACTTGCAAGAAATGAACATTATTATAAGAGAGAGATAGAGAGAAAGAGACGGAGGGAGAGAGAGGGAAAGAGAAAGGAAAGAATAATAGAAAAAGAAAGAGATCGAAGAGGCATTATTTATTTGTAAAAAATTTTCTCTCTTTTCTTCTCTCTCCCTCTCTCTCTCTCTCTCTTTCTTTTATCCTTTTGTAATAGTTTATTTGATTTCAATACAACTGAAATAAACTATCATTTATGATCGTCAAGAGAATTTCGTTTTTTTCGTTTTTTTTTTCTCTCTCTTGCAAAAATTTTACTAAATGGGAAAAAGTTTTTTTCATTTCATTTTAAACTATTCGTTTATCATTGTTTATAAAAAATAAAATAATAGATAATTTCTATGTTATCATTATTTATTTAAATTTATATAAATGAATTTAAATGATATATTTATATTTGAAAACGATAAATTTATCAAATTAATAATTTTAATTTTGTAAAAGAAATTTGAAAAAAAAAGACTAAAGTTTAACATTTTAATAAAAAAAAGGCCTAAAAAGTATTTAATACAAGCAAATTAAAATTTAAAAAAGACACATTAATGTAAAAGAAAATTAAAATATAAAAAAGAAATGTCTTACTTCAAACACTAATAAAATAAAAATAAAATAGCAATGTATTATTATTGTATTTATAAATGTTCAATTTAGATTAACCAAAAACAATTCATTTAAATTAATTTGTAAAAAATTTAAAAATATACTATCTACTATCATGTTACAGTCATTTTTTACTTGTTTTTTTAACACACAACTGAAAATAAAAAAAAAATAATTGAAAATATTTACTAAAATAATTTTCAAATAATACTTCGATAAAATTAAAAGATGCATAAATTATTTTATAATTTAGCTATTTGAGTACATTTTATATTATTAGAATGATAATAACATTATTAAAATTATCATATTTTTTGTTTTTCTGTCTTTTTTTTTGCAGATAATTTAATTTTTATCAAAATGAATTAATTTAAAAATATAATTTATTTTATTAAAATGAATTTATTTCAAAATTGATCAATCTTCTTCTTCTCATATTTTTTTTTTCCTTCCTTTTTTTTAAAAAAAGAAAAAAAAATGAATGAATAAATTCATTGCTACAATATAATTTACTTGAAATTTGCATGGGCGCAAAATGATATTCGGAAAAAGGGAATGAAAATAGATATATGATTAGTGAGCAATGATGTATGTATCATTTTTGAAATGAAAAAGCTTAAACAAAAAAAAAAAAAAATAAAAGGTTGAGAATTGGTTTGAAGAAGAGAGAATAGAGGCATATACCACTTTCATTTTATCATCATTCATTCAATTACCCGAAGAGAGGGGCACCGGAAATAGGCCTACCAATAAGGAAAAGGAAAGGACACACATGGAGACATGAAAATATGGGGACATGGTGGGGACAGGAGGCAGAAGACAGGAGACAGGGAGACAGGAGACAGGAGACAGGGACAGGGGACAGGGGACAGGAGACAGGGACAGGGGACAGGGGACAGGAGACAGGAAATAAATACGTCTGATGTATTTATATGAAGAAGGATTGATGAATTAATGCTAAACTCATGGTTGCCATTTTTTTTTTTCCTTCTTTTTTTTTTTTGCATTTAGAGAGAAAAGTTAGCACATTTTTTTAAAAAGCTATTTTCAATTAGAAAATAAAAGAAAGTGAAATGAATTTAATTGAAATGAACTGAATTGAAATGAAATGAAATGAACTCAAATGAATTGAGATGAATTGAATTGGAATGAACTGAACTGAAGTGAATTGAAATGAATTGAATTGAACTGAAATAAATTGAAATGAATTGAACTGAATTGATTTGAAATGAATTTAATTGAAATGGATTGAAGTAAAATGAATTGAATTGAAATGATGATAAAAAGGAAAATATATATATGAAAAAGGCTTGGAAAAAAGAAATGATATTTGAAATGTTTAAATTTTAAAAATGAAACCAAAAAGAAAATGTAGGATAAGAAATCATTAAAATTTCAGCATTTTAGAAATTTTTTAATTTTTATAATTGAATTACTCAAATTGTAATTAATACAATATGATAAAATGGTTTTGTTTAAAATTAAAACAATTGCTGAAATAATTGTTGAAAGCAAAAAAAAAAAGAAAAAAAAATTTAGTTCGTAATAAAATTTGTAAAATTTCTCAACTAAGTTTTTAATTAGTAACATAAAAATGTTTGAAAAAAAATTTTTTTCATTAATAATTTACTATTATTATTTGATAAAAAAATTTTTTCAACTAAATTCTATAGTATTATTATTAAAATGTTTGAAAAAATTTTTCATTAAACAAATAAATTTTTATTAATATTGTTAATTTGATATTTAATTATTATTATATTTGATCATATCTTATCACTACACATTATTTTCCACTCGTACTTGTCATTTCTTCTTTTTTGCAATAAACAAAAATTATTAAATTAAATTATTTTACAAACAAACAAAAGTATAACTTACTTTTTTAGTATGATTTATACTTCCTTAGTATAATTTACAAAATAAACTTAAATTAAGTTATGTATATTTATTCAGAATGATTACTTCAATCTTTTACACACATACACACAAGCATGTTTACAAATTATACCAAATGATTTTCATGAGAAATGATAAGAGGCTGATAAGTGATTATTGCTATTATAACAAAAGAAAAAATTTAGAATTAGCTAACTAATCTTAGTAATCATAATCTTAATAATTATAATAATCTTAATCTTAAGTAATCTTAATTTGTAAAGAAATAGGCAAAGAATAATATTAGACTTTTATTTATCAAATTAAAAAAAAAAATAAAAAGCTTTTGGCATTTATTTTAAAAAATAATGTGAAAAAAAAATTTATAAATCAAATAAAATCCATTTTCATTAATCATTAAATAAATTTGTTCTTTTTTTTTTTTCGTTTTGTTTTTATTTTATTATCTATTCGTTTATTTAATTTTAGAAGTAAAATGATATACTATTTCAAAAGTTAAAACTATAATAAAATTTTAAAATGGACTTTGTCTACTTTTTCCTCTTTTCCAAGTACAAATTAACATTGTTCGACTGAATAAATGAATAAAAAAATGAAATTGAGTTAATTAATTGTTGTTTAAAATTTAAGCCACTCATATTAATAAATAATTTTCTTTGTTTATTTGCATAAAATTTATGGAAATTTTAGGAGCAAAAAAGAAATGCATTTAGATGTAAACAAACCTCATTATCATCTTGATCAATGATAAGATTAGAACAATTGCTATCAGCACGAAGACGACGATTGGTTTTCAATTCTTGATGAGTGGAAAACTGACAAAATATTGTCCTAAAATGATGATAAGATGAAAATTTATTTGTTAAATTTTAATTGATTAATTTTTTCAAAAAAAAATTTTTTTTGCAAAACAAATTTTTGTCTGTTTTTTTTTTTTTTTGTATATATTAATTTACTTTTTTTTATTTGATAAATCAAATAAAACAAATCTTTATTAACTCTTTTTATTTATTTACTCTTTATTAAATCATAGATTTTTATTTATTTTTTATTTGTTTTTTTTTTATTTATTATAATTTTTATTCATTTTTTTGCATAAATTAATTCACTTTTTTCATTTGATTTTTTAATGTAATTTTTTTATAATTTGGTTTTTCCTTTTTATTGTTTTTTTTTAGTATTCTAAAATTTAAAATTTTAGAATATTAAAAAGATTTCATTAATTGATAACAGGTGTATACTTTCATCAATTAATGACCATTTTTAAAAATATATATAATATGAAATATAACAAATACCTGTCACGGATAGCTACTGGACATGCTATATTTACTGTAACTAAAGTTTGGGCACTTCGTTCATCTTCATATTCCACAAATGCCTTAAAAAAAAAACCTTTTTAATTTCCTTTCTTTTAGTATAATAAAATAATGATTAAATTTAAATATTAAAAAAAAGAAATTTTTTATACTTTTAATTTATCCATCATAAAAATCAATAATATCAATTATTACTTCTTATTTGTTCAAGCTTTTTTAATAAATAAATTTTAATTAAAATAATTGAATGTAATAAATTATACATAATCAAATTATTAATTCTTTTATATTAATAAATTCAAATTTTAAATTGAAATGGATAATTTTTTACCTGATTTCTTCCTTTAAGTAATAAATAATTAATAAGCTTTCCATAAGGCATACAAAAATGAATTAATTCTAAATCAGTCATATCGGATGGTATATTTCGAAGATGTACCACACGTGAAATACGATATGATGACTGTCCAATATTACCACTTATTAAACCAGTTGATGTTGTCGCAGCCATATCTATTAAAAAATTAGTTTAATATTTTAATATCACTTTATTAATTAATATTTGATTAATTTCATTAGCAATTAATGAATCAAAAGTTTTTTAATTTATCATAAAATTAATAAAACGTAAATTTTTTGTTTTCTTTATTTTTTTTTTGAACTTTTTTAAATTTTTAATAATATTTAAAAAAAAAAAAAAGAAAAGAGAAAATGATAATAAAGCATACTGTTACTTATAGTAGTACTAGTACTGCTACTACTACTATTACTCTTAGTAGTAGTAGAAGTTATTGTATTAGCATTAATAAATGGTTGAGTTAAAAAAGCGGAATTTTGTAAAAATTGTGCGCCATTAGCAAATGCAATAGCTGAAAGAAGTTGCTGTTGCATTGATGGTAGTACCATTCCATTAGCTGTTGTTAATAAATTCACTGAATAATCTAATTTAGCCTAAAAAAAAACAAAGAAAAGAAAAAAGGAGAAGAAAGAAGAAAAAAAAATGAAATATTTTATCAAAATAAATTCATTTTTTTAATTAATGAATTAAACAAACAAACAAACAAGCAAGCATTTCAAATTTTATATTATTCATATTATTATTAATTTGATAATTATAATGTTTATTTTATTTTGTTCTTTTTATTTTTTTTTTAATATCAATAATTAAAAAAGGAAAAAATTTTTCTTTAGATTATTTCAGTAGTTTTGATCAATTTTTGATTATCGAATTTAAAAATAAACAAACAAACAAACAAGCGTTTCAAATTTATATCATATATACCAGTATCAATTTGATAATTACAATGTTTATTTTGTTTTTTTTTTATTAAAAAAAATTGGCAGGGGAAAAAAACTTCGTCAGATTATTTCATTTTTAATTTAATTTTTAATTAGCAAATTTAGAAATAAACAAGCAAACAAACAAGCATTTCAAATTTTGTATTATTCATACTATTATCAATTTGATAATTACAATGTTTATTTTATTTTATTCTTTTTTTTTTAATATCAATAATTAAAAAAGAAAAAAAAAACAAGTAGAATATAAAAATTTGTTTCGACGAGAAAAAAAGAACAAAGAACAAATAAATGAATTAATTAATTAACTAATTAATTAAACATACCTTTTTAGCTTCACTATCTAATGTAACACCATGTAAATTTGTTGCTAATAAATTTCCACCACCTGTGGTATTCGATAATGATGCAAATAAATCATTTAATCCACGCTAGAAAGAAAAAAAACCAAAAAAAGAAATTTTCATCTTTATTTTTTTGATTTTTTAATTTCATTTTTTCTTTGCTTTATCAATTTATCATAATATATATTATTTGTAGAGAAGAAAAAATCGATTAAGTAAACTAAATCAAAACTTTGTCATTATGTCAACAACAACAATAACAACAACAAAATCCCAAAATCGAATTTATATTTCTGTTTGAACAGCAGTATTAGTTCAATCTAATGAATTTCATTATCGAAGTAAAATTCTCGAGAAAAAAAAATAAATGAAATTTTATGCTGAAAATTAGCATTTAAAAATAAAAAAAAAAATTCCATAAGATTTTTTATGAAATAATTAGGATAAAAAATGATAAATAATATTCATTTTGATTAGTGATAAAATTTTTTTCTGCAACTTTTTTCCTTTCCTTTATTTACCAATTTCGAAAAATAAAATAAATGAAAAAAAAGAAATGTAAATTTTAATAACCTAATGAATTTATTCCAAAAAGATTTGTTATCAAAAAAAATAACATTTTTTTTTTTTAAATTTTTAAGTATGACAAATTTTTAACATTCTAAAATTTATGAATTAACTTTGACATTGTTTATTTCTAAATAAAATTGTTTTTGTATCGTTGGACAAAGAAAGAAATGTATCAGTGCAATTTTATAAATAATTAAATTGAAATTTAAATGCAATTAATAATAAAATAACAAAAAAAGTGTTACTGTAAAAAATGGAATTTGAAATAGAAATTGTTAATGTTTTTTTTTTTGAAAATAAAAAAATTTGAAGAAAAATTGATAAAGAGAGATGTATATATGATAAGATAAAATAACATATATATGATAAGATAGAATAACAAGATATTTGATTTAGTTAACAGATAAATATTGAAATAAATTTCAATCCTTCTTTTTCTTTCTTTTTTAATTTTGTTAAAAATGCTCAAAATTATAATCATTCATATCTATCATACATTATTTCAATCAATTATACATAGTATACGAATCAATTTATCACTAATTCATATCATATCATTCATGCTATAAACCAGTTTATCAATAATTCATATCATATCACTCATGTTACAAATCAATTTATCACTAATTCATATCATATCATTCATGCTATAAACCAGTTTATCAATAATTCATATCATATCACTCATGTTACAAATCAATTTATCACTAATTCATATCATATCATTCATGCTATAAACCAGTTTATCAATAATTCATATCATATCACTCATGTTACAAATCAATTTATCACTAATTCATATCATATCATTCATGCTATAAACCAGTTTATCAATAATTCATATCATATCACTCATGTTACAAATCAATTTATCACTAATTCATATCATATCATTCATGCTATAAACCAGTTTATCAATAATTCATATCATATCACTCATGTTACAAATCAATTTATCACTAATTCATATCATATCATTCATGCTATAAACCAGTTTATCAATGATTCATATCATATCACTCATGTTACAAATCAATTTATCACTAATTCACATCATATCATATCACAATATTCATGCAAATGATAAGTTAATATTTCTCCATTTTATTTCTACTCTCAAAATTTCATCCAATATTTTGCACAAAAAAAAAAGAAAGTAAAACAAAAAAATACACAATTAGATGAGATAATTTTATCAATCAAAACAAATGAATAATTATTGTTTATAAGTATTGCTAATTAGTGATATTATCATATAGCTAATTAAATAAGTTGATAATAATTAACTGAAATTATTATTAATTCCATATTTCATATTTACAATTATTATTAATTCTATATTTCACATTTTCAAAAACAATCATCTTTTTATTTTTTTTTTTCACTCATTTCAATTTATTATCACTCTTTTTTTCCTTTCCTTTACTTTAGTTTGCTTAGCATTCAAATTTGATAAATATTTATTAAAGTGAAAAAAAAAAATTTTTTTTTTTTTGTGAAAAATATTTGTTTAATATTACTAAAATGAACTGAAAATAATCGAACAATACATATATGTCTCATAAATGAAATTTATTTTTGAAATATTTTATTTTCAAATACACAAAATGAAAAAATGTTAATGTTCATTGAATTATAAACCATTTAAATCAAATTAAATTTGATTTGAAAAAAAAATTGTGATGCATAGGATGAATATGATTATGATTGCGATTATAATGATACTAATTTCAGTGATAGGTGATAATGATTGTGATAATAATGATAACTAATGATAGTGGAAAAATATTGTTTACAGGTTAATGTTTACTTATAATAATAGCATATCAAAATGTAAGTATTGTAATGATTATCATTGATAAGACAATCATGATAACTGATTGTCAACAAAAAAAAAAGTATTTTTACAATGGTAGTTGACAATAGATTTATTTTTGCGAAACTTTTTAAATTTAAAAACAAAAAAAAAAAATGTCACATAATACAAAAATTATATAATTGAATCATTTTTTCTTTTTTAAAATAATTTCTAATTTGTAAAAATTAAATGAAATCAATTAAAAAATTAATAATACAAAGTATTCATTTTATTTTCTTTCTAATTAAAACATAACATTAAAAAAAAAAATGAATAATAAATTTTTATTTAATATTTTTGAAAAATTCCCGCAAGCAAAAAATAAATCCAAACTATTGAAAAAAAAAATCACAAAATCACAGTATTGGAACAATATTTGAATAACATTTGAAAGTCTTTTAAAAAAAAAAAAAAAAAACGACAAAAAAAACCTTTCAAATAAAATTGACAAAAGAAGAGAGAGAGAGAGAGAGGGAGAGAAGGGGAAAAAGAAGAAAATCAGAGAGGGCGAAATAGAGAGAAAGAGAGAGAGAGAGAAAACAGTTTTAAAAAAAAAGCAAATTTCATTTCCAATAAAATAATTTGTTGACAGAAAGAATTGAAAGATAGCAAGTATTATTAGCATATACAAATAATGAAATGCTTAAACAGAATGCAAAAAAATTAGTAATAGAAAATGAAATAATTGATAATAATATTAAAAAAAAATGCAAAATTATTTTTTATAAAAATTTAAAATTAAAAAAATAAAATGAAATAATGAAAGTATCTGAAATTTTTTATCAAATGTAAAAATAATTAAGCATTTTTAACATTTCAAATAATTGTAACATAAATAGTTTATTCATTGCAAAGAAAAAAAGAAAGAAAGAAAGAAGCAATTAAACATAAAATTATAAAGAAAAAACTGAAGAAAACTAACAAAAAAAATTTCCCATAAGTATCATTTCTTTCTTAATTTATTTCATATCCAAGAAAAGAAAAATAAATGAACGAAAGAAAGAAAGAAAAAAGGAAAAGAAAAAAAACTTAGTTTTAAAATAAGTCAATGAAGTAACTTTAAGTAAGCTAACATTAAATTTAAATTTGGATTAGATCAAGATGAAATACAATTTTTAACTCTATACAAGTGCAGTTTTAAAATAAATCAATCAGTGAAATTCAAAGATTTTTGAGCCATTAAATCAAATTTAAATCCGAAAAAATTGAATTAAACTTTAAACTATATTTGATTTAATACTCAAAATTACAATCAAAAAATTTGATAATAATTTTTTACACAAATCTGTAAAATTAATTTTCTTCTTTTTTTTTAAAAGTATTATGGAATAATTTATTATTGTAAAATGTATATGTAATTAACATTGAAATTATTTATTCGAAAGATACAAAAATAAATAATAATCAAATTTTAGTAATTCTAATCCTTTTATCTTCCAA